ATGGTTCTTGGACCCCTGCTTTTACTCTAATGTATGGACCCACATGCAGAAGGAAAAGCTTTAGCCTCTCATGCATTAGAAGGGTGGTGAATAAATGCACATTTATATGTTTTACTTTAGAGGGAATTTTTAATGCAGCTTTTTGTGCTTTCCTGCCTTAACTGATGTTTATTTTTAATGTATGAAATACTCATCTCAGTTGTACTTGATCCGAGGACTTCTCCTGGGCTTCCTTTTGGCCTTATTTCTGCAGAGTCTAACTTCCGTGGTACACAGACTCACGGTGAAGGTTGTTGATTAATATTTGTAAAGGGAATAAACAAATTTCTCAGGAACAAAGTCTGACTGGTTAGTTAAAATCTCTGCAATAAATAGGAATAGAAATAGAAGTATGAGTTTCTATCTCTGGAAAGAACAGAAAAACACGAAGCTGGTTTGCTGTGTAGATTCAGAGAGGTGAAGCAGATAATTGATGCAAAGTTTCATGGTTTCTGATTCAGTACCTTCATTTGATTTGTTGGTAATTAGGAGGAGCTGAATTTTTAGAGAGGAAAATAAAGCAACTCAGGGAATAAATGAATGTGGATATAGGTTGAAAGAGAAGAAAGAATTCAGCAAGGGAGGTTAGCAAACAGGTTATTGCGTATGTCCTGAATTATTACTGTGATATGGAAATAAAATATATTCCAAACAATACTAACGATGAGTAATTGCAGTGAATTGACTCTCTTGGCTGCCACTGGAAGGTGAATTCCACCAAAGCGAGAATCTTCTCACATTTATCTTTGCATCTCAAGAGCTTAGCCCAGAGTTGGCACATTGTAATTAATAAATAAGTGTCTGTTGAGTGAATTAATGACTGGATAGAACTGAAAGTTTGTGAGATGCAAAATATCCTCAAATGTTTGGATCTTAAACTCAACACATGAGAAGGATGACCGTACAGAACAAAGGTGACTGGATCGTGTGTTACTCCTTCAGGAGTGGTCTTGAAGTAGGCTTAGGGGCTTCCAGGTTTGTTAGATTCATTCTAGAACATAGGATAGCCATGATCATCTCACCTGGCATGTTTCTGCACAGCTGAACCTAGTGGTCAAGGGCTCTTTCCTGACTACAGATGGCTCAAGAAATGCTGAATCAATGAGGAACCATGTTGATAAGCTTCTAAGGGTAGAAGAGGGCAGCACAGACCAAAGTTAATGCTCTTCTACCTGGGTCTAAGCTTTATATCTCATGCCAGAGAATGAGATGACATGAGGTCCCTGGGCTTCCTCCTAAATTTCTTGTGGGTGCCTGATTAGTGTGTATTGCTCATTTTTATTTTCCAGAAAGAGTTTTCTGCCATTGAAGGACAGATCTTTTGAAAATGCTAACATTTGGAATTTTATTTTTGGGGAATGGATGTAAAAAGGCACTCAGAAAAGTCAGAGACTCCTAACGGTTTAATTATTTCAATAAGTTAAATGGTAGACAACATGTAAGGGTGTGGGTTATCTCTTTTACGCCACACTGTGCAGTCTGTTTTGGGTTCCTCTTTGTTTCCAGGTGCCATTCCAAACTGATTACCTGGAACAAGGCCTGGAATAAATTAGATGCTCAATAAAAGCTTGTCGAACGACTGACTGAATGCCGCTTTCTCCTCCCTAGCAGCTGGCTAAGCCAGAACATTTGAAATGTAGCTGAATAATTTTGGTCATGTAGGAGTTCAGATTCATACTGAAAGAGACTGAAGATTGGGCACACAGATCATTTCTCTAGAGAGCTCTTTCCCTCAACTGCTTCCTGAAAATTACAATTGTGTTGGCTTTTATGTTATGGCACAAAATCTACTCATCTAGTTAGATGTTAGAAAAAGGAAAGAGATTTACAGAGAAAAAAAAAAATTGAGGCACACTCAACCAAAAAATGTTTGACCAAAAACTAAACCCTTAATGTAAAGCAGAATTTTCTAGAAATAGTTTATTTAGAGATGGAACCTTGTCATAAACTGTGGTAAAATGATTCTCTGATTAAAGAGTAAACAGCAAGGAACGATGCCTGATACCGACCATAGAGAGAATTCTTTTGAACTGGAGCTTTTAAGTTCAACACTTAAAACCATTTCTATATTATGTATTATGGTGGAAATAGACTTGTAAACTCTTGGTTATCCATACATATTTCCTGAATCTCAAGTGCCAGCTAGTGTATCTCTTATAGTGCTTTGCCCTGAAAACTAATCATAATTTATGGACTATGTCCCAGAATGCAGATGTTTGATTTTTCTTTTCTTTTTAATACCATTTCACAGAACGAAGTGTGTACAATTCTTTTGATTCCTTTTACACGGAGAAAATTCTTCTTGCTTCAATGCAAATTCTACCAAACCTGTTTAAGTTTGTCCCCGTCATGTTACAAATACTAATAGGGAGGGACAGGAACCCCAAGGTCATCACACAATAGCAAGAAGAATGAAGGGATATGTCTGAAATTGGACCCTGTAAGAAAGAGCTGTTGCCAAAGAATCTATCATTCCAACCAAACAACCTGGGGCAATTTAGTCCTGAACTTCCAGCACTGTTGCCATGGTTTCTAGACAAAGACGACAGGGCTGTATTCCAATTATATCCTTCAGAATGACAGGTAACTGAAAAATAGGAAATGGGATAATAAAATCTCAGGTCACCCAGAAGAGGTGTGATAACTACAAGTGACACAGAAATGAGAGATGCACGTCTATGTTTGTTTAAGAAATGCTTTTGTGATTTAGAATGCAAATGTATATCGGGCAAGTCCTCCAGACTTTCCATAGCAATTTTATCCATCATCCAGCTCCTTATTCAAAGCCAGGTGTCTCCCACTTAATAGAAATGTTCTTAATAACATTTTAAACTTAAGGAATTAGGTGCCTGGGTAGCTCAGTTGGTTAAGCAACTGCCTTCAGCTCAGGTCATGATCTCGGAGTCCGGGGATCAAGTCCCACATTGGGGAGTCTGCTTCTCCCTCTGACCTTCTCCCCTGTCATGCTCTCTCTCACTTTCTTGCTGCCAAATAATAAAATAAAAAGGAACCTGTGAATTAACAGTATTTAAGAGAAAAAAAATCTTGAACAGCGAAAAGTAAAAAGTATTTCTTGAATTCTGAAGATATAGCAATATCATTTTTCCTCCTTAATGCTGGGGTCAAAGTTTATTCTCAGCTTTTCCCATTTGAAGGCATTTATTGCAAACTTTGCCCCTAGCTTTGAGCCGTGTTTGATAATCAGTGTTATTTTGCCAGAGTTTTCTCTTCTGTTATTGGCTGCAAGGAAGATCCTTGACTTTTCAGTGAGAGGAAATTTTATGTAGAGATCAAAGTGTTCACAATGAACTCTAGAATGGTACTGGTAGTATTAGTTCTGTATTCTCTGCAGTTAAGCAGAAATAGAGCATTTTTTAAATCCCCAAAGCAGCATTAAATAATTTACATAATCTTTAAAGTTTAAAACAATTTTTAATGTAGAGTCTTTAAAATGTTAAGTCTCAGTATATTCACTTATAAAATGGAATAATACCTATCTCTTAGAATCGTGTCTTTAAATTAAATTAGGTAATCTATATAATCTATATAAATTAGGTCTTTAGCTCAGCATCTGGCACATACCAGTAAGTAAATGTAGTTTTGTCATTGTTACTATGATTAAACTATCTTCTGTTGTATACATTGTGATAATGTGAAGCTATTACTATCACAGAGAAACAAGCAAACAAAATTGATAAATTTAAGGATTTAAAAACCACATATCCACAAAAAGTTTTTAAAGAAGTACTTTAGATGTGAGATTAGATGTGTTTGAATGATGGTGAAAAGAGCATGAATTTACTAAATGGTATTTCAAGGACTACTGCCTGCAGAGTGAGATGGAGACTTCTCGATGGCCTGAAGCCTGCAATCATGCCTCCTGAGTTTTTCCTTAAAGACATTCATTTTTGACACTGTGAGGACAACATAACATTTTTGTCAACATATTGAATATAACTGTTACAGTTTTATGAAGATCAGCTTTATCCTTTTCTTTCTACGCATAAATTCGAAGAGTTAGTTGGATCCTTAAGTTTGATTGTTACTGTATTCAGGATACATTTTTTTTTCCCCCCTCAGCAAGAATTGGTTTGATTTTATAATGGAAGTAATTAGGAAAAAAATGATTTATTTAGTAAGAGATTTCTTATGATAAATCTTATGACATCAATCCATCTTCTTTATAAATAATGACAATGATAAAGAAAAAAAGAGAATGAATTTCTTTTCCTTCAGAGACTGACTTTTCAAAAAAAATCATCTTGGAGGTTTGGACTAAAACCATTCACACAGTTTATTTTGCTTTGCTTGTCTGGTCTTCACATGTTGATGAATTCCTTTCATTCATAAACCCTGAAATTTGAATTCTATCCTATGTATGTACATATATGTAATAAAGTGCATAATTTTGCTGAGTATTTATGATTAAAGCAAGTAGAGACCTGGGCAACTTCAGATGAAAAGAGGTAAAATATTCACATATTATGGAATCATATGAAAAATAGCCTTAATTTGTTATTCATATTTTGTTACTCTTCTGTTATTAAAATTTTGGAATAACTGGTTATGATCAAAATTTGAACCATTATTTCAAAAATAAATACAAAGGGTGAAAACTCCAGTAACCCAATTTCTTTTGTCTTCATTCTTTTCTCTAAATGTTCTAAGTGCTGTGGAAGGAGTGTTTTGTCTTGGAGCAACAGCTTTGTGGGCACACCAAGTTTTCTGCCTGCAAATGGGATTTTGAGTTATTTCTTTAATGCATTTCTTTATGGCATGGCTACACCTCACTGAAACATCAGAAGGAAGCAGCTTCTCTGATCCAAAATCTTACCTGGAAAGGTGACATATCTATTTTTGTTGTCATCTTACAACATGGGTCATGACACAGCATGATGACAACTCTACGGGAATCATCAAAATTATGTAGACATTGTGTGGAGAGAGTCTCGGTAACTTACCTTAAAAGAGATTTCATATTGTTCTCCTCCCCAGATTTCTAAACCTGGATCATAGCCACCCAATTCCCAAAACCATTTTCGATCCACGGAGAAGAGACCTCCAGCCATAACAGGAGACCTGTGAAATGGACAAAATCATCTTTAAAGGACTATGGACATTTGCTTGGAAAAAAAAATAAAAGCAAATCTCAAGATAAGTTTCAGTGGTCAACACTATGACGCTTTTCAGCACTGGTTTTCTGTAGGTGGGTATAGGGTTCTGATTGGGTCTCTTGCTGCCCTTGGAATCCTCATGAACTTTTAACTTCACACTGCAGTTTCGAATACGATTCATGCCCAGTAGAGTCACGCTTGCTGCATATATTTATCATTAGAGAGAAATACGTGACTGCTAGTGACTGATCTATGGAGACATCACTCAATTTTATGACTTCTCCTTAAGTGAAAGGAATCTTGTACTATCAGACAGATGAAAGTATAGAAAACACTCTTACAGGCAGTATCTTTGATTTCATCTCTCAGTACGGATTCACCAAGAACTTCCCACACACAGGTCATGTCCATTTTACAGACCATGAGATGGTCAGTAGAAAAAAATAAGCAACCAGAATTGGTTATTTAGATTACAATGCTTAAGGTGGAATTTAAGCTAGGCCTTTTCACTGTAATTATATTATCCTATTTAGGCTTTCTCTGCCTTTCTAAGAAATATTCCATTTGGGCAAATAATAGATTTTAAGTATTCCATTCCTGTTAGGACACACTGTAGTTCCATTGCTGTGTAATGAGATAATTTATAATCATTGGACCCTGTCCTAAAATTTTTGTAGTTTAAAGGTAGCTCTAGTTTTTTTGAGCACTCAATATGTGCTGGGCTCTTGGCTAAAAGTTTTACTCAGTTCTTTTGAATCATCCTCTCTACAACCTTGGGAATATCATTCCTATGTACTGTTTGAAGAAACAGGCAGAGGGAGTTAACGACCAGTGGACTGGAGCTAGTGGTGGTCCTGGAGCTGGACCAGATCCTCTGATTTCTAAGCCTTTGAGCTCTTTACCGCGACATTGTTTCTGTTTCAGCGTTTGGGGGTTAAGGAGAGACAAATACTTAAAGGCATCAATTAGAACAATTAGAGAATGCCTTTATGCAGACAAAGAAATCTATAAAAACACACATTTCCAACATAGTTTTTATCATCATTTTGAAAAACTTTTGAAGTAAAGGATATTTATAAATAAAAATACAAGGCATTAAGGGTTGAAGATACACATTTTCAAATATCTATAAACATATTAGACAAGCCAATTTACGGATCAACTAAAGAGTTGCTCTGGGTAATGTTTTATGAGGCACTTGAGCAAAATAAGCCTGGATTTCTTTGTGTGTTATATATTTCAAATACTTTGTATATTAAAATGGTACTTGGTCTAATTACTTCCATTTAAGGGTACTTTTTAATGCATAGACTGTGGAGATGGAAAGATTGCAAGGCAGGAAAGGGGATTATTATACCACCTGTGAAAGTGAGTAGGATTAAAAAAATAACCTGAAGTATCTTATGCATTTTTTAAATTTTGTTTGAAATAAAAATCCTAAAAGCAAATGTAACCTACTTTATCCCCCTCTACAGCAGCCTAATCTTTTTCCATTTTCCACACACTGAATTTCAGAGCCGAATTACAACTGTAGCTGGAACAAATTAGGACTGTAACATGGATTCGGTACTGGTCTCCCATGAACACACGACCATAGGTAACCTCTGTTTCCTCAGAGCTTGGGCATAAGGGATCAGAACTTCTTGATTCTGTTCAAACTGAGCCACAAATGGAAAGATCGATCGTAAGTCATACAAATGCAATCTCATTTGGTCATGGAAAATCTGAGGCTAAAATGCGTTATTAAAATGTATGCTGTGCCAAATACATCTCAAAACTAGAATTATCATAGATCTCAAATTATAGATAGTAACAAGAGAAAGACATATTGGTTTTTTTGTTTGCATATATGTATTGTATGTAATTTTGTTGGACATACAATATCTTGTTTTCTTAATGAGTTTAAGAAAAAAAACTGTGTAGTGTTCTAGGTTAGTTTTAGGTATAATAAAATGAATTAAAATGGATCCTTTTTATCTTCATTGATGTTTTTTCCAAGCTCCAAATAAATTAATGTTTCCTATCTTGATTAATGTGAATGACTGGTAAGGAGCCAACTTTTCATTTATATATGTATTTCCTCATATTTGTCCATTAATCTTTTAAACAGCTTGAGGTACAGTTGACATACAATGGATTGCATATATTTTAAGTATACAATTTGATGAATCTTGACTTATGTAGGTATACCACTGTGCGGGTATCACCATATTCAAGACTAGGAACTTATTTGCCATCCCCCCAAGTTTTCTTGTAATCTCTCTCTTCTGACCTCATTCCCTTTGTCTAGGTTACTAATCTGCTGTTACTGTATATTAGCTTGAGTTTCCAGAATGCTATATAAACATCATACAATTTGTTTTCTTTTTCCAGGTCTGGCTTCTTTAATTCAGTATAATTATTTTTAGCTTCATCTATGTTTTGCATTTACTAATAGTTCATCCTTTTTTATTGCTGAGTAGTATTCCATTTGAATGACAATATCACAGTTTATCTGCTCACTTATTGGTGGACATTTGGATTGTGTCCAGTTTTGAGCTGTTATAAACAAAGGTGATATGAATTTTTATTCCTAGTCTTTGTGTGGACATATGCTTTCATTTCTCTCTTGAGGAAATGTCTAGGAGTGGAAAGACTAGATCGTATGATGGGTATATGCTTAATTTTCAAAGAAATGGTCGAACTCTTTTTCAAAGAGGTTGTGCCATTTTTTATTCCCAATAGTAGTGTTTGAGTTCCAGCTGCTACACATTCTCATCAATATTTGAATAAATTTGAATATTTTGAAGTTTAGTCATTATGATAGGGATATAATGGTTTCTCAGAGTGGTTTTATTTTGTGGTTCCATGACGATTAATGATGTTGTGCATATTTCTGTCACTTCTCTCATTTTCCTTGTCAGTCTGGCTAGAGGTTTACTGATTTTATTGATCTGCTTAAAGAACTAGCTTTTGGTTTCATTGATTTTTCTCTGTTCTTTTCACTTATAGTTCATTGATTTCTCTTTAGTTTTTATTGTTTTAATCTTCTACTAACTTTGTGTTTAATTAGCTCTTCTTTTTCTCATTACTTAAGGTAGAAGCCAAGATCATTGATTTAAGAGTTTTTTTTTCTAATATAGGTATTTAGTACTATAAATCTTTCCTAAGCAGAACCTCACAAAAAATGATATACAGTGTTCTCATCTTCATTATGTTCAAAATACTTCCTCACTTCTCTTTTGTTTTCTTTCTTTGATCCATTAGGTATTTAGACATGTGCAATTTCGTTTCCAAATATTTAGGGTTTTTAAAATTTATTTTCATTTTTATTTATTTTTTAAAGTTGGTTTTTTTTTTTAAGATTTTATTTATTTATTTGACAGAGAGAGAAAGCACAAAGAAGGGGAGTAGGAGAGGGAGAGGGAGAAGCTGGCTCTCTGCTGAGAGGGGAGCCAGAAGCAGGGCTCAATCCCAGGATCCTGGGATTATGTCCTGAGTCAAGGTAGACATTTAACCTACTGAACCACACAGGTGCCCCTATTTAGGAATTTTTTTTTTTTTTGAGATTTTTTTTTTTTGTTACTGATTCTAATTTAATTTCACTGTGCTCAGAAAATATACTTCCTATGACTTGAATCCTTTCAAATTTATTTTGACTTTTTAATGGCTCAGAATATGGCCTATCTTGGTAAATGTTCCATCTATGCTTGACAAAAATGTGTATTCTGTTGCTTTTAAGTGGAGTGGTCTATAAATATTTATTAGATAAATTTGGTTGATAGTGCTATTCAAGTCCTCTATATTTTTATTAATGTTCAGTTTCCTTGTTCTATTAATTAGAGAGAGGGATATTGTAATGTAGGACTATAATTCTGAATTTGTTTATTTCTCTGTGCTATTCTATGAGTTTTTGCTTCATGCATTTTGTAGCTCTGCTAATAAGTACATAAATGTCTAGGATGTTTATGTGCTCTTGATGAATTAGCCTTATTCTTGTTATGAAGTGACTTTTATCATCTCTGGTAATATTCTTTGGTTTACCACTTCAGCTTTCTTTGGATTTGTACTCTTTAAACACTAATATTTATGACTTTTTAAAATTTTACTTTATTTTAAAAACCATTTGTGTCTTTAAAGTGGTTTTCTTGTTGGCAGCATATACTTGCACATTGCTAATTTATAATCTCTGCCTTTTAATTGGGTTATTTAGATCACTTACTTTTAATATGATTATTCATGTGGTTAAACCTTAATCTATCATCTTGTTTATTTTTTATTTGTCCCTTTTATTTACTTTTTTAAAAAGACTTTATTTATTTATTTGAGAGAGAGAAAAAGAGTGGGCATGAGGTGGGGGAGAGGGAGGAGCAGACTCCCCACTGAGCAGGTAGCCGGATGTGGGGTTCAGTCCTAGGACCCTGGGACCATGACATGAGCCAAAGGGAGATGCTTAACTGACTAACCCACCCAGGTGCCCCCTATTTGTCCCATTTATTTTTCTTTTTCCATCTTTTAATTCACTGAATATTGCTCGTGATTCCATTTAATGTCCTTTTTGACTTAACAAAGACTCCTTGTTTTTTTATTTAAGTGGTTGCTTTAGGGTTTATATCATATGTGTGTTTTTTTTTTTTTAAAGATTTCATTTTATTTATTTGACAGACAGAGATCACAAGTAGGCAGAGAGACAGGCAGAGAGAGAGAAAGGGAAGCAGCCTCCCAGCTGAGCAGAGAGCCCGATGTGGGGCTTGATACCAGGACCCTGGGATCATGACCTGAGCTGAGAACAGGGGCTTTAACCCACTGAGCCACCCAGGCGCCTCTCATACATGTTTATTTTTGATCACAGTTTATCTTCCAGTATATTGTACTACTGCACATATATTATAAAAACCTTTTGATAATATGCTTTCATTTTTCTTCCCCCAACCTTTGTACTTTGTACTTTGTTGTCTATGGTTCCATGTGTTATACATCCCAGAT